TAATTCTGGCTAAAATTATGTTAATTTTTGGCCGGAATTATGATATACAAATATAAGAAATTTTTTATATAGTCACATCTCTTTATAATCACCAAATATGGACTGTCCCAAATGTGTGACTATAAAGAGAGTTGACTGTAATCTATTAATCCAAAAATTCCAACTTTTTTCAAAAATAAAATTCCTTAATAAAACTAAGAATTTTTCTTGTAAATTTTGATTTTCAAAAATTAAGAACGTGTATGCTGATAACTCACAAGAGATTATTCCTTTAATTAAATCTATAAAGGTAATTTTCGTTTCACTATAGGTACAATCCCAAAAAGTCATTTTATCAACAAGCTTATCATCAATTATAGGATCTTTATCTGCATTAATCAACAAAGAGTTACAAATCCCTTCAAAAAATTCTTTTGTTTCTTGAATAATATTGTCCATTTCACTAGCATGTGATTCACATTTCACAAGTCTACATGTGATCAAAAGTTTCATCGCATTGTTCATAAAAAGAACATTTCCAATCTTTAAATATTTTATAAACCAGATATTTTCTTTTTTCTACAGTAGGAATTTCTTCAATTAAAAGAGTAACTGATTGTTTTTTCCGTTTTGATAAAAATATAGATGTAGAATATGTTGAATCAATTTTATCTTTAATTTCCCTACTAAGCAGCAAAAATGTATAATGCCAATCAACATTAACATAAGGGTGTCTATATTTACCATTTCAATTCAAATTTAAAAATTTTTCCCAATGTTGTACCATTGATTTTTTCTTTAAAAATTGACATAAATTACATTTTATTGTAATATTATTCTAATGTGAAACATAATCTAAATTATTCAAATTATTTGCTTTAAAAACTAAATTTAATGTTTCATCAGTATGAGTAATAAACTCATCGATATAATTATTAAAATAATTATCACTATGTCTTTTAACTTTAATAAAATCTAAAGTAAGATTATTTGTAACAATAATTTCTCGAAGAATACTCCAATAAATATTATTTGTTCTGATCTTAAAGAATTTTCGTGGTGAAATAATAAAATTATTTCTGTCTATAATATCATAATATCCTGTAATAACATTATTTGAATCAGTATAAATAGTGACTTCACTATTAATTGGTAAAACAATCAACGCTGAAATGACTGCTAACAACTATACTTTTCGTCAAAATGACAAAATACTAATTAAATTTATTTTGACAAACGTAATGTATTTTGACAGACGTAATTAATTCATAGTAATTTTATAATAAATAGTAAATTGGTCTGTTTGCCGAAATACAACATAATTAATTAGCGGAGAAGTATACTAACAACTCTGCTTTATTTGATGATGAGAAATAAGAAATTTTTGAACGAAAACTATGCAAAATCATATTATTTCTAACAATAATAAAACCAAATGATATTGTACATTGTTGAGATCTAAAGTCACGAACTGAACCATCAGTATAGATCTCAAATTTTCTAGTTGAACTTTCAAGCAATTGTTTTTGAATTATTAATAATTGGTTTCGATAGGACCCCGGATATCTAATATAAAGGTCATAATGGACTTTTGGCCGAAAATACCCCTTTTTGCTGAAACTCAAAAAATCGTTTTTTGTAAATATCTCAGCATCCAGTAATTCAATTTTAATGAACTTTTTTTTATTTTGTAGCCCTCATTTAGCTCTACAATTTAAAAAACTGTTCATCAAAATTGGACCACTGGATGCCGAGATATTTACAAAAAACGATTTTTTGAGCCCCTGAAAAATGGGCCAATCTGCCGAAAGTGTGACTTATGACCTGTTTTGGAGATATCCGGGGTCCTGTTTCAATCATGTGAAAAATCTAACAGTTTTGTAATTAGATTATCATTTATTTTAACTAAGCGGTCAATTGATAATACTGAATGATTAATTGTTGTTTCATAACTTTTCCAATTATTTTTAAACAAAAAGTTATTATAACTTAAATCTGTGATATCTAGCAAGTTTGTCTGTAGTATAGCTTTCAAATTATTATTGTTAAGTATTAACCTATAATGTACATCATTAATTGCATTATTAGATTGAACTCTAACAATTAAACAATCATTAGTGTTAACCAAAATGTTACAATTAAAAGTTTTTTGATTTAATTGTTCTATATTGTCTAACTCACATCCTAAACATTTTTGTAATTAGATGATTAATAATCTATGATTAACATTATTAATAACATTTAAATGTCCTATTATTAAATTATTCTGTTCATCAATTCCAGATGTTTTGATTAAGACACCTATTTCGATATCATTACTTCTATTATTCCAAACTCCTATAAATGTTAATTGTTTGAGAATATTATTTCTATCTATTTCACATTGAGCCATATTATACCCTTTAAAATGAGAAACAGCTGATGTTTTATATTCAGGTTTAAGGGTTTTTCCATCGATTGTAATGATATTTTGTAATTCTTTATACCACTTTTTGGGCTTAATATAATTAGTAATTACACGTGTCTTCTCTAAAAGATTTTAATTTTAAAGTACACCAATTAATCAAATATGAATTAGATATTTCTATTAGTTGATCCAAAAACATAACTCCATCTTTTTTAATCTGATGAATATTGTTAAAAAATTTGTCTGTTTCTAAAATTTTTCTTACTGGTATATTATTACCACCAGTTATCTTATATTTTTCTATACTTAACTTATTATTAATAGAAATATCTATATTATTATTTTTTAATATTTTGATGTTTTCTAAGATCCAATTATCATAATTTCTTTTACTATAAAATAATTTTTTATAAAAATTATTATCAAATGGAAATACAGATACTATATTATCTTCGATCCAAAATTTATTTTGTAGCTGTTTAAGCCTTAGCGTCATAATTTTTCCTAATAATCCAGTATCATTTAATTGTATTAGGAAATTTGTACCCTTTGCTTGTAGCTAATTATCTGCTATGTCTTTTACATTATAAATTAAATTATGATTAATTATTGCTGTTGGCATTCACCAAGAGAATCTTAATTTTTTTCTAAAAACTCGCCTAAATGATGATATGATATATTCACATTCTCAATCATTAAGAATTGTCACTTGAGCACGATACTCAATTGTAGGGATAATAAGAGCATTAAATACATATTGCAATTGCTTATCTGTAATCCTCTTATGTTTAATATTTTCGATCAACTTTTTAACTTCTGATTTAGCTTGATTAAGCACAAAATTTTTATCATCATTGACATTGAACCAAATAATTAAATGATTTGTCTAATTTTTTTAATAATAATTATAGTTGTTTGTTTATATTTCTTCATGTTTTTCACATAATGTACATATTTTCTTTCTAATAAACTTTTTTCATCTTCTTTTTCAATAATTTTATCTAATTTACTTAATTCAATTGAACTAAATGTTTTTGTTTGTTTTTCATTAATATCTCTTAATAATCCAGCTAACTGAATATATTTCGATTCTATAATAACATTAGTTTCATCCCCCAAAACAAACATATCAACAAAACCAAATCTTCTATTTCCTTTTCTTACATTCTTATTCATTACTAAACAAAGTTCTGGAATACGATATTTTAATGGCAAACTAAATTCAAAAATTCCTTGAAGAACTGGTTCATTTGCTAAAGACAAAAACATTTGTGATCTTGTTAATAAATTTTTTTTTAAAATTTTGTTAAATCTTTCAATATTACCTGAAATAAGACTGTTATATGCTAAAGCAAATAGGAAAACATCATCAGTAATTTCTATGTAATGATTTAATTTTTGTTTCTTTTTAAGTTCTAATATAGATGGTTAATTAAATATATAAAGTTAATAACATAAATATAAAAATAGTAAAATATTTTAATAAAAATATAACTTGTCAATAGATAAATCATTCATATTGTCATCATTATCTTGTTTTCTTGATCTTTGTTTTTGTTTAGTTTGATTCTTAAATTTCTTAAATTTTTCGTTAAAAATACATTCTAATGATCTACCTAAATGATACATTTCACTCTCAATATCGTATATAGAACAGTAGTTATTAAATATTAAACAAACATCGTTCTCAAACTCTTTTTCATTTGAATACTGATTATTTTCTAATTTTGAATTTACAATAAATAAATCCATTGGATAATTTATTTTCTTAAAATAATCTGAATTCAGGTTCTCAGTGTATGTGCAAAATTGTTGATAAAAGATTGTATTCTTAAGTTCACAAAGTATATCATAACAGAATATATTAATTTTACTTTTTGAAGAAGTTGCATCAGGTTTTGGATTTTCTTTATTGTATTTTTCAATTACTTTCTCCCAGTATTCTTGTAAAATTTTCTTGTGTTGTAAACGTTCTGTATCTACTTGTTTACAAACAAATTGTTAGTGGTGTGCAAGCTTTTTTATTTAGTGGAAAATACATGGCAGATTTCTCCTCCAGGGGAGTAATAGAGTGGTTACCAAAGCTGGTAGTTTTCCTAGCCAAAGCACATGTTAAAATGCACAAATTGAGAGCAATAGAATGCACAAGCCCAGCAATTTCTCTTATTTGAGACCTAATTCACATGTGGCTAATCTAGGAGTTACCCTTCCTTTCAAAATAAAAAAACACAACTTTTCTTTTAAGATCCTAAAAGTATTTTGATCTGTAAAAATTCTTTCTGCTTCTCTTAAATAATTAAAAGCCTAAGTATAGTCGAGTTCATTCCAGCTGGGATAGGAAGATAACAAAGTAATAATAGAAGTAATAATATCATCATGATATAATTCCAAGAATTCACGATATGTTAAACTACCTTGTTTCTTTAAATAAGAAATAAGAACTAAAATTAAAAGGTTAGTAAGAAGCCGAATAAGAAGGAAGATTATACAAAATATTGTTTTACAAGACATACCATCTTGGCCTGGATATGTTTCCATGTTGATTATTTTCAAATTTCAAAGAAATAACGAAAGAAAAGGAATAAATAAGGGAAAAGGAATAAATAAGGGAAAAGGAATAAATAAGGGAAAAGGAATAAATAAGGGAAAAGGGATATTAAGATAAAGGAATAATAAGAGAAAAGAAATAAATAAAGGAAAAGAAATAATAATTGATAATAAATGGTTCAAAGTAGATTAATTTCAACGTGAATTTGTAACAGTTCGAAGTAAAGTTTAATTTTAATGTGAATTTGTAAAGTAAAGTTTAATTTTGTAATGGTTCACAGTAGAGTTGTGAATTTGCAATATATGGTTCAAAAGTGTTTATTTCAACGCGTACAAAACAAAATGCCTACATGTACAGGGAAGAGCCTGAAGCCAGGGCCTTTAAATACTTGTAAATTCGGACTGATACGTCCGACATTTTTGGCAAATGTTTCATTAAGAATAATTATATTATTGACATGAATAGAAAGAATAGTAAGAATAGAAAACGCGTAAATTATTTAAAAAGTAATGATAAAAATACAGTAAAAATACGCGTCATACGTCATACACATCATACAAAAAACAAAAAATGATTTTTAACATTCTACTACACGTGTCTAATTAATTATTTGTGAAGATCCTTGCTTTTGTCAGTTTTGTATAGCCTAATGCTTTTGTGCTTTTTGCTGATGCTTTTGTCAGTCTTGTTAGCCTAATGCTTTTGTCAATCTTGTTAGCCTGATGCTTTTGTTGGTCTTTGTCAACCTGACGAGGAATAGATTTGGCTGTATGCGTTTAAAAATACGCCGAGCTTTACATTTATTCTAGAATCATCTACTAGTTACAAAACCATCACTTGTTTAAAGTCACGCGAACACGTTAAATCATTTGGATACTGAATCATGGCAATAATTTAAAACGGAGAAGTATTTGATATATTGAAGGGGACTATCAAGCCTGACCGTATGCCGAATATACTTGTTTACTACATGAATCAAACATTAAAAGTTTAAATATATTTTTGGAAATTCAGACTAATTCTTTATAGTAGTGATTTCTGAAGATGATTAATTTATCTTTTTGATTAAAGTATTTGGAATATCATTTAATTTACTTAATTTATTTAATTTACTTAACAGTTAATTTACTTAATTTATTTAATTTACTTAATTTATTTAATTTATTTAATTTACTTAATTTATTTAATTTATTTAATTTATTTATACTTGTATACTAGTAATGAGCTAATCTCCATATTCGTACATATAATTCAAATTACTATTATTATTGTCAGGGTGATGGAATGACATTCTCTGCAATTGGACAACTTGATACGAATGGAAAATTTTAAAAATTAATCACAATAAAATTTACATTCTTAAAGATTCGGTATATCTAATATCAGATAACTGAAATTCCATGTATTATTACCATGTATTATTACTCTCCACCAAAAAAGATAACATTTTGTTCTATAAAAATAGAGGAACAATTGTCAGCATGATTTTGTGTTTGTATTCAAGAAAACGGGTATTTGAGGTGAAAATTTTCGTGCTTTCAATTAAAATCAAGTAACATCATCATGTACTAAACTAGACGTACTGTAAGTTATTAGATCATCTTTGTAACAATGACGCAGACTTTCGGGATCTAATTCTATTTTTACAAAGAAAGCAAAATAGCCAATTTCCTTAGTTAATCTTTATGTTTGTTATTGCAATATTCTCAGTTCTCTGTACGGAAATGGTAGCTCCCAAAAAAAATACTCAGAAAAAAGAGTCAAACTCACCTTAACAGATCTTAACGAGATACTGTATGTACAACTTGAAGGAAATATATATTAAAAAGGAGAACAAATGAGAAAATATTGAAAAATGGAAAATGGGAAAGAAATATTATCTTCAACAAATTTAAGAGAATTTAGACTAATGAAATCAAGTTAGTCGTCAAACTTGGCCATTGCTTCTTGGGATTGCTCTCTTCCAATTCAACAAATCCTCTGATCCGATCATGTCTTTGGCAATGTAATTCCTGAGACATCTGATTTTACGTTAGCAAAGTGTACGTGGTATAGAACATTCGAGAATATTTGGACAGTTCTGAATGAAGTACGTAAAAGTACGTAACAGACTAACAGTACGTAACAGTATTATCAATAAAATATACTCAACAGTCACAACATTGAACTCAACTTGAAAATATACCAACTTGAAAATATACCGACTTGAAAATATACCGACTTGAAAATATAGCGACTTGAAAATATAACTTGACTGAAGTATATCTATATCACTTTTCGCTGACGACAAATATGAGGCACGAGAAATCAAATATGAAGTGCGAGAAAATTTCAGACATTTTCCAAAGCAGGATAGTTGTTCCTCAGATTATTAAAGTATTAAAGTTCTTTCATATTCATTTCATTTCAGTTTTTAATCAAACAAACAAAAGTCATGTGTCCAAATTGATCAGCAACAATTGAAAATCAGATCGCGGAAAAAAGATCATCTATTTTTTAACCTTTAAGATTTTTTATTACAAAAATTATTATAAAAAAATGACATTATAATATACAAATAAAATTCATTAATCATAACAAAAAAGGGAAATTAAATTTTTTAATCGTGAGAAAAAAAAAAAACTTTAATAAATTCGTACTTGTAGATAAACAAATTTAGATTTATATATTTTGAAATGTTGACTAAATTTGGTAAAATTGAATCAAAACTTTTTTTATGCTTAAATTTATTAAAATATTTTAAATGAATATTAATTTAGTGAATAAAAAAAAAAAATCATATTTCAATTTTTATGTCATTACTATGGTAAAAGCCGTTTGAGTTAATGTGATTAATGACGAAATTTGGAATAAGCTTTTAATCAAATTCGGTAAATTTTTTTTTTTAATTTACTACGCTAACGATTATTAGTAATTTAAAAAACAAAGTCCGTGTTGACATTGCATTTGCATTTCTTTATTCACCTTTTAAATCTTTTTTTTTTTTTATCATAATCATATAACATATGGCATATGCTTTTTCTTTCAAGTATCATACGATGGATTTCTTTCTTAAAAAAAAAAAAAAAAAGAAAGAAAAAAAAAAAAAATTTTTTTTTAAAATAATATACATAAATAAAATCACTCGCATATAATTTTTTATTACATATAATTGAAAACGCAACCAAACTTGTCACATTTTGTCACAAGAGAAACGCCATACAGTCATATCTAGTTAGAAGATAAAAAGATTTGGTAATTTGAATTTATAATGAAAAATTTATTTTTAAACGAAACTTTCTTTTTTGCCATGCATTATATATGCATTAATAAAATATTTAAAATTAGCCAATTAGATGTATGATATCGACATTTAGCATGAGAAAAATTAGCAATAATCGCGGGCTTATCATGTCATTTTAATGAGAACATTGGAAACAATTAAAATTTATGAAACTATTATCCGAATTTCATGTATGAATAAGATGATTACATGAAAGAAAAATCCGAAAAAAAGATTGTTAATCACAAAAACGCGACCAAAATGACGGACGCGTTAAATAAACAAAGATCCAATTAAAAAACCAATCAAAAGCAAGTCATATGATGATCTCAGATCGCCTCTAACCAAAAGTAGTTAATTGAACACAAATCCGCGGCAAATTTTTTTTTTTCTATCGTTTTAAAAAATGAATGAAACCCAGATAATAATATTATGCATTCAATCAATCATATCAGCTGCGCCCACATTGGCCACATTGCCCGCATTGTCCACACATTACCCACATTTTTTTCATATCGCCCACATTTTTAAGAATGCAAAATTAAACAAAGCATAAAACGGTCCCCTGATAATCTCGATTTCTCGGATACAAAGTGTCCCGCAGCCGAGAGAGGAATTAATTTTTTTTTTTAAAAAACAATTACTTTCGAAACAATAAACATTCTAATTTTAAAAAAATCTTTTCTTTTAAAAAACCCTATTAATTATAATTAATTATAATTTAAATAATTGATAATAATTGATCTTTTTTTTAATTAATAATCATAATAATCATGTAAAGAGAATCATTCAATAGACAAAATCAGTAAAAATCAGGTACGTAATTTTCCGTCGAGCACTCTTTTTTTAAAGTAATTTGACTCGGAGAATTCTTTTAAAAAAAGCTCCCTATTTTTTTATATTTACAAAAAAGGGAGAACCGCCAGAATTAAACAGTTAAAAGAATTTCACATTATTTTGCATAATTTTACTTCATTCTTAAATAAAAAACGTGTTTTTGATTGAAATTGAATAATTTTAAGTTGGGTTTGATTTGATAGAGATCTTTT